GGAATCCATTCTTTTAGACCTTAAACTCGCCTAATCAAAAAATGAGCCAAACCAAAAAAGAATCCGCTTCCCTTTTCCCCAACGTTGAAAACCCCTTTAATCGCTTGAAATTCAATCTCCTCGATCTTCATCCGGAAAATTCGAAACTCCAAATTCGAAATGCGAAGAAACATCGATGAAGAAAAGAAAGCAAGAAGGGAAAAAAAGAATCGATCCACCCCATCATTCTTCCTCTCCACCTCCTAAAAACTTTCGAACCCACGAAATTTTTCCCTCCGATGGCCATCGCCCGTTTTCTTCGCGTCTGGCCGCCCCCCCTCCCCCCTCCCTAATTTCTGGCCTCCGATTTCGATGGGAACTTTCGTCCCTGAGACTTGCATTTCCCTCCCCCGTCTCGGTCGTCTGGATGCTTGGAACAGGAAGAAGAAGTCCGTCTCGGGGTCGGTTTGGATGCCGTAGCTCTGGGGCGTAATATTGATCATGGCGTGGGTGGCCTGCACCAGGGAGGGGGAGGGGGGGTGTCTGCGCGATCCCCCTTGCTCCCCCTACGCCCAGTCGCAGCCTGCACCCCTGCTACCTCCTCCTCCTCCTCCTCCTCCTGCTCCTGCTCCGGCCTCTTCTCTCTTCGGGGGTGAAGTCGTCGGGGGAGAGGGGGTGGAAGAGGGACTAGCTGAAGCGTTACAACGGGCCCACTCGTTGCATATACGAATCTGTAACGGGTGGCCGTCGAGTAACGACGAAGGGAATTATTTTTGCTTGGGTTTCTTTTTTTTTTTTTTTCTCCAATGATTCAATATCGATTATCAAAATATCGTATTTTCGTCGAATGATGACGAGGATCGTTATTTTTTGTAATTACTCGATCGTTGCTTGGAAAAGTTGAATTGGAGAAATGATATGCGAATTTCGATCATTATCGATCGTTATCGTTATCGTTCGTGTAAATCGACAAAATTGATCGGTAAAATTAATTGTTGAATAATTGAGGGAGTTAGGGAGTTTTGACGATGTTGTTGAAAGTCGGACAAATTATTAAATGTAATCGAATAATCGGACAGTGGTCAGGCAGATTTTAATCTTTTGTTGAACAATCGTTGATTTAATGAAAGCCATTATTTTCTTTAAAAAAAAAAAAAACTAATCTCTCTATTCCTGTCTCTTAACTGCTCTTGCAACTATAACTCACCTGTGCTGCTTCACGAGAACGAAACATACTCGTCTCTACTCTTAAAATGTATTTAAATTAACTATCTCGTCCGATATTCCTTTAATCACAACTGTTGAATGCAAGAAGGTGTTGCGACGATCGACATTGTTCAGAAAAATAATTCCTTGGCCAGCATTGATTTACAATAATCTAAAGTAAAAAGGAAAAGAAGATGGTATCCGATTGAACGTTTTTCGCTCGAGAAAAATCTTTTTCTTTCGTCCACCACGATTCCACGATGCAGGATTTTAATGGAAAATATCGAGCGATCCGGCTGTAATAATTTATTTTTACGGAAGTTGCCGACTGTTCATCGCTCAACGCTCGTGTAAACGCAGTCAACAAACAGCAGTTTATGACCAGTAGAACGGCCGAGTTCCGCATGCAAATAACAGCGTGCGCGAAATTAATATGGATGTTAAAAGCTGTTACACGTATCGCTCCAAACGAATCGAGATAAACGAATTACTGCAATTCCAAGCGCCGGCCAGATTCATGGGAAAAAAGTATAGAAAGATTTAAAATTTATCGGCCGGTGAAAGTGAAAAAACGACGCTTGGAAAGAGTTCCAATTTTGGGAAGAGTTGATAAGTAATATTATAATAGTTGCGAATAATATTTAAATAATATTGTAAGTAAATAATGATAATAAGTTTATCATTTGAAAATATATTTTTGATGCGATAGAGAGTGGAGGATTCAGAATTTTTGTTATTGATGAAATAATCGATATTAAGGAATAATAAAAAGTTAGGAAAATTTCGAAATCAGAATTATTATTTAACTTTCATTTCTGATATTCATTCATTGATATGATGTTAGAATTCAGGCAGAATGTATATTGTATTTAAAATGTTACAATTTTTGAATTGAATGAATTTTGTTATTTTAGGAAAATTTTGATGATAAAAGTTTATAAGAATATTTTCTTAAACCTTTTAAGCCAACATTGGAGAAAAAGGTATCTAATTAAATGTTTCTTGGAAAAAAAAAAGTCCTTTTTGAAAGTCTTGTAAGGCAAAATGTGAATTTGTACAATTTTAAGTAAATAGGATAAAAATTCGTATTATAATTATATTACTTTCATCCTGAAAATATTAAAATTATATTTCTCCTACAATCCTCTAATTCTTATTGATTTTTATGCATTCGTGAGATTATTTTACATGCAACAAACTAATTTTGTAAATATTTACATGATATTTGAAAAGTACTTTTTAATTTATTGATTTCTTATCGAAATTCTATTTCGAGGAAACAAAATGGCTTAAATTTCGAGCAAATTATTGTTAAATGTAATTTAACAAGTAATGGATCGAGAAAGAGCAAAATGTTAGATTAAAAAATTTTTTAAAAATTATTATTATTTCAAATAACATGTAGTCAAAATATTCATCTTAACGAATACAATAATCAATATAGTTATAATATTTACACTTAATAATAGTTAATAATAATTAATTTGGATAATGCCCTGTTAGAAACACGAAAAAAATGTTGAAACTTTAATTTCATTCCCTCCCTCAATCTATTGAGAAGAATTGGTATCCAAACACTTTCATGAAACACGATCAAATAAACGTACAATTAAAACAATTATCACAGTACATTTACATTTACATCTATATAAAAAGAAAAAGAAATTTGACCACCATAAAATTCAAACAGGCGAAATTTCCAGACAATTTTGACGATGGAACACAAACGACGCGATAAAAATCAAAAACCTCGTGCAGACAGTGAAAACGACGTGAATAGCGCCGTCACAGCTCACTAAGATCGTTGATAAAAAGGAAAGTATGGAGCAGGTGCATCCAAGAGTAATTTTACAACGAAGATACTATACAACTATATTTCCTAGTATATCTTTTTCATAAAGAATACGAGTGAAAATTTATTGCCTCTGGTACAACTGTAAATTCCATTTTTCTTAAAAGAATTAGTTGTTAAAAAATTGGTTAATTGCAACTGTCAGTGTGTATCTGGCATTTGTGTTGAATATCTATTAGGAATAAGTAGTACATCAATGGCGAAAAATTCGTAATCGTCGATTCGTTTACGAGAATCGACGAGCCTGGTTGCGAAAGTTAGGTTATGTTAACTTCTTAACCTGAAAAAATTTTTCCACGAAAAATATAATACCTATATAAAAAATTGTGAAAGCATATTTTTTTTATTTTTTAACAAAATGTTAATGAATAATTATTTAATTTCGATCGATTTTATATCGAGCTAGGTATATAAATATTATTTTTTTAAATTAGACAAAGGAAAATTTTAAAATTGATGATAGTTTAGAATTTAATGTTTAAAAAAAAAAAGAAAAAAATTCAAGTCAAAATTTTCAAACGTGAAAAAATATAACTTCGGAGGATTGATTTCATTTAGGAAGAACTTTTTCAAACGAAAAAATTTATAACTTATTATGCTATTATACAAATTTTCATTAGATGAATTTCCTTATAAAAGATTATCGATGCAAAAATAAAAATAAATAATAAAATTAGAAGATTCGATATGTATGTACAACAATTGAAAATTTTTAGCCAGTACTGTACATAGTTGCGTAGGTATGACGATAATTGTGAAAGGTGAAACTCGTAAAGATTCGAATAATTGTACTCACTTTCCCTTTTGCATTTGCCTATGCATATTAGTGTTTTCCATAGGATCGCAATTTCTAAATTATTATTCAATTATTATTTATATATTCTGTCCATCATGGTGGATATTAAAAAATATTAAAAAATTCTTATTTAAGTATATCATATTTTTAAATTCTCTTATTCAATAATTTAGTTTCATCTTCTGAGAAATTTTAGCATTCTAGAAAAAAAGTGTTTAAATAAAATATGTTTCCATTTTAATCTCTCGACATTTGTCAATAATGATAAAAGAAATACAAATAAGAAAAATTGTATTAATAAAATAATTCTATCGTATATTTTCTAAATTCTTTCATCATAAATTCTGAAATGTGCATTCTCTTGTGTATATATATGCAATTCACACACATTTCTAAAAGTATTTTTATATTTATTTTACTTTATTAAAAATACAACAATTGAAACAAAAAAAAAAAAAGAATAAAATGGAAAATTAATTTACAAAAATATACTTTTTATATATTAAAAAATTTATACGAGATTCACAATGTAAAGCATTTTTTTACGTCATTATCTAATTTTCCTTAAATCATAAAACAATTATTCATTTAGAAAAAGAAAAATCTGTGTTCCATTATCCAAATAAATTTTCTGTCTTTTGCTATTAGCTTGGATTATTGGATTAACGTTTGAAGATTCTGTTGATATACATCTGAATATAAATGACAATTTTTAATTGATGTTTTTAATGATTAATATCAAGAACACGTTTCTAACAACAGAATACGTTATACCTATATCATGGAATCACTAATACACGATATGCATAATAAATTGAAATTTAATTACAATCCATTTATATCCCAATTCACGTTTCTCATCGATTCACGAGACTTCATCTTCTCGAACAATCCAACAAAGTTGTAAACTATTTTTCTTAATAATGTTAGCAATAGCCGTAACATTTCTTCGAAACGAGATGCAATTTCGGTTTAGCCTCTTGCGATTTAATTTTTGCATCGATAGCAAAAACTTATAAGAGAAAAGTCGTACGAAATACACGAAGATATAATAATTTTGAAAACGCGAATAGTGAAATTCATTAGACGATCCTTAATTTGTGGAATATATCAGGCGCAAAAATTTTTCAAGATTCTTCAAGATTTAAAAAATCTTCCTCAAAGATCACGAATGATAAAGTTTTAAACGAGTTTCTCAAGAGAGTTTCTTGCGAAATAAAAATTCGTAAAAAGATTCGTATCTTTCGTGATTTGTATTTGATTTCTGACAATCTTGAAAATTTGTTGCTATTTCTTATTTGAAGATAATTTTTGAAAATTATTCAACGTATAAATTTGTTTCATTTTGCGAATGTGATACGAAATAACAGTGTTAAAAAATATTTGAAATAAATGTGTGATATTTGTAATTTAATATAATATGTATAATTCATTGGAGAAACTTTAAAAATTTAAGGAGAGACATTGTGTAAATATCTCGATTAAAAAATTATCAATAATAAATCATTGCTAGAAAACCAATAATTTATAATTCATATTCAAACTTATCTTTTTATATATGAAATAATCAAATATATCAAAGTTTAAAGAATATAAAGTTTATAGAAAAAAAACTATTAAGTTAGTCGTTCACAGAAGTGAATTTACAAGGAAATTCACTTAATTTAAAAATCTTAATTTTAATGAATATACGAAGAGAATAATGGATCGTATGTGCAATAATTTCTTTTTTTCACAAAGAATATTTTTCAATGCATGAAATCAAGTTTTAAGTTTTTATCGTTTGTCAACTTGGTATATAATATTTTAAATGAATTTAAAAAAAAAAGAAAAGAAAAAAGAAGAAGATACTAAAAAATTATGAGGTATCATCCCTTCTTTATTATTTCATTAATAGAATTGCTCCGTATATAACTCGTTACTCTTTACATTATCGTAAGATTTCATACAAAACAACAACAAAATTATTGTTCGTTTTTATAACACATAAACTTGTTAGATGAACTCGTAAGATGTAAAAATTTTTACGACTGACATGTACAACAGAACAATCTTCTAGATTTTGATAGTTATTAAAAAAGATGATCGAATTTGTAATAAATTTTTCCCAGAATATAAAAAAATATATAGAATGGCATTTACTTTCTACTTTATTTCAAAAATAATCTCATCAAAATAACGACTCATTCGTTCGTTCAGAAGTTTTCAAAGAATTATTTCCAAGCCAATATCTAAAACTTCAAAATTGATCACAAAAGAGCATTTCAAAGATTTTTGTTAAAAGAATTGTAATTTTAAAACAAAACTAAAATGGTGCATCGTGTACTTTCATATTCCAAGATAATTTTTTTTAAAATCTTACAATCGCCTTCTGCATTCAAAATTGAAAGGATTATTTTATGATGAACATAAAATACACAAGAAATAATCCTTCGGTCACGAAAAAAACAAAATCTATTTTGACCTGGATGATTAAAATTTTATTTAACGAAAAATAGCATAAAATAAAAAAAAAAAACCAAAAAATCAGTTTCCACACTTCTACAAACAAAAAGAAAGCGTGACAAAAATTTTAATCCTTCTCTCGACTCCAGTCGCGAAAAAAAAAAAATTCATTTTTCGCTACGAATGAAATTTTATCAATTTTCATAAAATTTAAAAAAAATTATTACTTTCATCATAAAATTTTACTCAAGAACAAACACAAAAGTAAACGACAAAATTCAACAATCATTCTCTAAACACCCTCTTCCACAAAAAAGTAAAAAAAAAAAGAAAAGAAAGAAAGAAAGAAAGAAAGAAAAAAAAGAATCAAAGAATAAAATTCACTTTCGCAACGAACCGATCCAGCCATCCCGATAGTCATGAACGTCATACCCGCGTGTACACCCTCTCTCTCGCGCCACCGTCTCCTCTTTCCCGCGCTCCTCATTCACATCTCCACCCCAGTGTCTCGACAGCGACCCCCCACGTCTCGTATCACCGTCCCAACCCCGTCGATACGACGATACGAGGCATCGCGAATTCGTCCGAGGCCTGACCCTTTAAGCCAGACAGGGCTTTTCTATGGCCTCCACCTGCAAAAGCTGTATTGTAGTACACTCCCTCCACTCCCTCGGCCGCCACCCTTCGCAAAAGAGTTTTTTGCTCCCGCACACCGACACACGGCCACGCCGCGATTATTCCTCTCAATACGCGGGTGCACGCGCAGACACGCGCGCGGAGGAGAGAAGCAGACACACGCGTGTGTACACACGGGCCGCGATATCCCCATATCGTCCCGCTCGGGCACAGAAATCCACCCCCAAGAGCGGGAGAGACCAGGGGGGGAGAGAGAGTGCTTTCGAAGCTCGCGCCTCTCGGCCAGACTGTCATTTCGATCCCGAAAGAGAGTCAGCGGTTCTCAGCGAGTTGGCGAGTTGTGTGATGAGGTTGGGAAAGAAGGATGTGAGAGAGAGAGAGGGAGAGAGGGGAGGGGGGGAGAGAGAGAGAGAGGAGGAGGA